TATGTTCCCCAGGGTATAAAGCTAAAAGGAACAATTTAGGATGCCTATTCCAAATTGGTACCAAAGTTAAAACTGAAGTTAGGCTTTGTTTTGTAATTAAGTGTGTTGTCTTTTGAAACAAAAACCCTAACAACTCATAGGTGGTTACCTTTTTATCCATTTGGGATGATGGCGACATACACTGCTTAGAAAAATAAAGGGAACACTCAAATAACACATCCTGATCTGAAATTATTAAACCTAGGGCAGACCGCACCAGCATATGGTGTCCCAAGGGCTCTGAGGATCTCATCTTGGTACCTATTGGCGGTCATGCTACCTCTGAGCGACTCTCCAAAGAAATGTCCCCCCCACACCATTACTGACCCACTGCCAATCCGGTCATGCTGCCGGATATTGCTGGCAGTGGATCGCTCTCCATGGTGTCTCCAGACTCTGTCATGTCTATTATGTGCTCAGTGTAAACCTGCTTTAATCTGTCAAAAGCACAGGGTGCAAGTGGCGAATTTGTCAATCCTGGTTTTCTCTGGCAAATACCAAGCCTCAGTTTCCAACCATATGTGCAGAAACATGCACATTTGTGGCCTGCTGGAGGTCATTTTGCAGGGCCCTGGCAGTCCTCATCTAGTTCCTCGTTGCACAAAGGTGGAGGTAGCAATCCTGCTGCTGAGTTGTTGCCCTCCGGCAGCCTACTCTACGTCTCCTTATACACAGGCCTCTCTCCTGATAGCCCCTCCAGCCTCTCTACACAACGCTGACAGACACAGCAAACCTTCTTTCCACAGCTAACATTGATGTTCCATCCTGGATGAGCTGCACTACCTGCGCCACTTGTGTGGGTTTTGGAGTCTGTCTCATGCTACCATGAGTGTTAAAAAGAACCACCAACATTCCAAAGTGGCCTAAACATCAGCCAGAAAGCCTAGGTACTGAGAAATGGTCTGCTGTTCCCACCTTCAGAACCACCTGATTATTTATTCCATTTGTACAACATCTATCCATCCATCCATTTTCCATCATGTATATTCCAAGTGGGGTCAAGAGGGTTGCTGGTGTCTATCTCAAGCTGTCCAGGGTGTACCTGATGAGAGTCAGGGTACACCCTGGACAGGTCCCCAGTCCATCTCAGGGCCATTTGTACAACAGCCTTTGAAACTGATGTTCAATACTGTCGCTTTCTCAGTGGGCAGTTTAATTTCACAGAAGTTTGATTTGATTGAAGCTGTATTGTGTTGTTTACATGTTCCCTTTATTTGTTTTAGCAGTGTCCTCTATATGCAGTCTAGTTCTTAGTGACGTCATGCTTTGGACACTGTTTTTTATGGAGCACTAAGATTTAATACAATGCATTCAAAAACTTCCACTTATCCTAATTGATCATATTTTTGTGTTGATTGGTTTCCTCTCCCCATTTATTTACTTTTTAATTTATAAGGTTTTACTATGACTACCTCCTCTTTATTTAATTTCCTTTATTTATCAGAAGCCTACAGGGTCGTATCACTGGTGTTCACAGTTCTTATTTTATTGACTGGAGTCCGCACTATTTGGTAAAAAAGCATAATGTTCTGTGGCACCATCAGCCTGGAATCTCCTTCAGGATTAAATTGATTTAAAATAGCAACTATATATTTTTTTACATTATTTATTTTATTTATATTTTACTTATCTTTTTTGCATAGGCGGGGTGGGGGGTGGCAGAAGTAATATTTTGGAAGAAGAAGAAGGAATATTTCCATGTACAGGGAAGTCTTGGAGTTTTTAGTATGTGTAAAACCCTGTATTATTTTCATTCAATGGCTGCTTTAAGGCAGTATGCCACGTTACATCCAGCTTAAATACATTGAATAAGATGAGATAAAGAACCTCTGTGAATTTCCACTTTCAGTTATTCTAAATAAACTTGGAGCTACTAGGAAGTGGTTGTTAACAGGAACATTATTGTCACTTTTCTCTAGCCTTGAATGTTGTACTTCTTTTGAAAATTTAGATGAAAACTCTACTTATGTGAAAAGAGTGAAAGGGATGCATCTCTGAAGGCAGACTCACAGCATTCGTCGTTGACAACACACTTCTCAGTCTCTTCAGTCTGAAGCTGACAGAGCGAGCCGTCCTCCGGATACTGTTTGACGTATCGCTCTCTGGACCTCATCCCCATCCCACAGGAAACACTGCAGGCAGACCAGCTGATCCACTCTGACATCATGCACGTTGAAGGCTCTGTTCACCAGGAAAAGAAACCAATGCTATTTAAAGAACATGAGATGAACATTTCACTAACTTTTTTTATGTGTCAGGTGGAATAACAAAAGAAACAACAACCATAGAATCTTCATATCTCGAGATGCTGAAAGATGTTTTTTTTTTTTTTAGAAAACAATTTAATCCTAACATCTAATCCTAACATCAAAGCAAATGAGTAAAAATTTACCACATTTTCAGACACTTTCAAAAGATCAGATAGAACATTTATTTTTAATAAAACACGTGTTTTGTACATTTTACAGCTTGAGATCTGCTGGTGAAGATTCTTCATCATCCAGGTCATAGTTATTCCAAAAAAGTTAAAAAAACAATCAACTGGACTTGGTTTCCAAGTTTAAATGTGTTTTCCCTCCCAGGAAACTTTTTCAATTCAAAATGCAAGAATTGGCGTTGAGAAGAGCTACCTCCTCCGGACAGGACTCTGCTGTCCACTTGCACCTTAAGGACAAGGGACACTCGTTTGAGGAACAGAATGTTCACAATTTGGACAAACAAGACAGCTGCCATTTATTTTAAGAAAGAAAAACCAACCTTAAACAGAGGGTGTGGACTCAGGTTCCAGGTCTCTTAAACCTACAATGCAGCAATAGAGTTGATTTCTTCCCGCTATCATTTCAACCCCCCATCCTCAGGCAGGGGACAAAACATCTCACCTGTCCAGGCAAGCCAACGATTGCCCCTAACGACCCCCTTTTCAGAGGCATAGCCCAGTATTGGGTATTGCAGGGTAACAAAGAACCCAAAACGACTCCCCATTCCCAAGGGACGGAACCGTTCTTCTGGATCAATTTGCAAATTTTCTAAGCCAAAAAAGGTTTTTGGGCTACTATGTAAAGCTTCTAACTCTACGCTAATTCTGACATCTTGAATTGAAAAAGCTTCCTGGATGGGAAGTGAAATTTCAAACTTGGAAACCATTTCCAGTGGATTGTTTGATAAGTTTTTTGGAATGACAATGACCTGGATGACTGAGAATCTTCACCAGCAGATCTCAAGTTGTAAAATGGACAAAAAACAATAAAGGTTTGAAACGTCTTCAACCCTGAAAACAAAGTCTAATATATTGTTTTTTAACATTTTTGGAACAACTTGAGATAATTTCGACTGCTCTCAAATAAGAAAACATGGTGTTCCTTCATACCTACACTAAAAAATATTAATTTAACAAAGCAATTTATTAACAATGAATGGGTTGGGATCTACTTGGCATTTAGCTAATTTCAATATATGGTAAACCTGCATTTTTTCACCTTCTAGAAAACATGAATCAATCTTACATTAATACACCAGGTCAAATATAAGCAGGCAAATAAAACCTTGTGAATTACAATCTTAAATAGTTTGTTGAATAAACTGTATTTCCCAGTTTTTCTATTAACCTTTAGTGACTTTTTGAAAAACTGCATTTGATTTTAGAGTGTGTTGTTAATAACAAAACCCAGCTAATAATCTCTGTGGCCTGAATTGCAACCCAATGACAACAAAGGCAAAATAATGTTAAAGTGCTTTTGTTAAAAAAAATTACTTATTTATAGAAAAAATTATATTGTTAGCCGCTCATTAAATTCAATGTATTATCCTCATTAAAGGATTAAATCCTCATTTAGCAGAACTATAAATTGGAACCATTCTTTGAATCACGTTTTTGCAAACTGGAAAACAAATCTTTTACTTGAGTACATCTGTATTCCCACTATTGGGCTGAGGCTATTAGGTGACCTAATAAAGGGGCTGCAGTTACCAAACAAATAATTTCATTTAACATCTTTGGTCGTTCTGCTCCAGAATTAAGTGACCTTTGGAAATAATCAAAGCATATAATTCATGATCATTTAATTAAATGATAAAACTAAACTGGGGTAAAACTAAAAGCGCATTTTTTCTTTTTATACCTTGATGTAAAAGAAGGGAAAGCTTTCAGAATATATAGATTCACAGATTGTTTCTGTCAAAAACTTAAAAAAGAAGATTTGAGAAGCAGCAGAAAATATTTTGGCCTTGGAAAACATGCAGTAAACTTTAGACAAGAAAAAAAAAACCCAAAGCTTTTAGCTGTTCACCTAGTAAAATGCTGGTGCATCTTTTTGGTTCACAATGTGTTTTTGTTTTTAAGTAAAAACATACCATAAGCAATTATAAATCTCAGGCATACTCTCAACTCTGAGGTAACACCAGGGCACAAATGAATGCTGCTGGAATCCAGGATCAGACCAGCAACATTTTAGATTTTAAGTGAAACTCTCAAACTCTGAACAATTTCAAAGTATTCCTGACAGGAATATCTGTCCCTTGTCCTGTGGATACGGGACAACTGACCCTGGAGACTGAATATTTCAAACAGTTGCTTGAATAACAGCCTTTTTACTCTGCTCAAGGTTTAAAGACATATATTCAAAGGGCTCTCCTTCCAAACGGCTTCAGCTCCCTTTTTAATAACAGCAGCTGCCCTGGGGACACAGCAGGAGCCTCAGGGAAACAGAATCAATATGTATGACCTCGGCTAGTATCAGGTGAAGCGCAAACTGCTGCTTCTCAAGCTTAACAAGCCCCTGCTCTGCCCTTTTTCATCACTATTAGCCTGCATTTCGCTTTAAGATCTAGCTGGTATTTACTAGAAACAGAGTACAAACCTAACTGCTTTCTACTGGGACGCCTCTACGAATGGAGCAGATAGCAAATAAAATATGTGAAAAGGGAGGCTGTCAAAAGCAGAATATTATGTGGGAATAGACCTTGTAAATTGGCGATTTTCCTCAGCAATGATCAATGAATTCTGACACACCTTAATGGATTTTTCTTTGACAAACAACGTTTAACTCTCATATACTTCCAACAAACTGATGTTGCTTACCAGCTGCAGCCTAATAAAGCAGAACTAAGTGAATCATTAATAAAAGATACAGGTATCTCAGGTCCCGTAGGGCCTCCAGACAGAGTTTCCCTGGAATATTAATCATCCTGAGTGTTGCTTCCCATTCTGCCCCAGCATGGACCCTACAATTATCAATCTCCCAGCACACGCTAACGGAGCGCTAAATGAAAACAAAGGAGAGGTGCTTGGGAATAAAAAGCTATCTGTGTTGCTGTCTAATAATCGATAACAGAGCTAGCGGAGGGTGGAAGCATGGGTGTCTGCGAGAATCTCTTTTAGCCTTGAGTGTTTCACTTGTCTGATTACTAAAAGACTTCCTCGGAGTGAAAAAGGGGAAGTGGGAAGACAGCGAAGACAGACCCTGACTCTCAACGTTGTTCAAAAGCCATTTTTCACCACATGTGCTTGTGCAGAATCAGCATCCGTTCTTAGCAGGAGCAGAAAACCTGTCGGAAATTACGGATACATTTTCATGTGTACAGAGGGTAAGGAAACAGGAAAAGAATTTGGTGAAAAGCTGATGTTGTTCTGTGAACGTCAATAAACATCTACATACATTTCCCTGCTGTGTTTCTAAATCCCAATTATCCTAAAAAAAAAACACAATCCATTAGTTGTTCATGTTAGCTTAGAAATAATGAACACATGTGGTGTTGATTCCTTTGAACCCAAAATAAACACAATCAAAATGTTGTTTACAGATCCCGGAAGCAAAACAGTGCTCAGAGTTTAATGCTATTCTACACAGTTTTTCCATTGTAGTGATTACTCTGTATGTACCGTGGGATTTGATGTGTTCTGTTATAGCTGCAATATGATGCAAGCAAGGTGATTTCAGACTACATTCCAGTTGTGGGTTTAAATAATTAAACTTTCATGAACACCTTGATTCCAGGACTTTGCTAAAATGCCTTTTGTTTGTTTGTTTTAGGTATGCATGATATCGGGATTTTGGCCGATATCCGATATGCCGATATTTTAAAACTCATGTTGCCGATAAC